GGTCAGCATCTTTATTTTTTTTTCTCCAGATACAGTATGCATTTGCTCTTAGATTTTTTGATCCAATTAAGTCTGAATTTTTCAGTGTTTAGCAATAATAATTTCCAGCTGATAAGGTGGCAATGTGGACTATGGCACGGAGGGAAAGTAATGTAATAACTCCGCAGTTACACAAAAAGGAAAGAGAAAATGAATATGCATAGCTTTAGGGCAGTTCCTTGCTTATCACTTGCAGTAACCTGTTCCTGAACCATCCATCCTGCTTTGAGAATATCCATGGTAAATCTTCTTTCTCCTCAACAGCCCCCTCCCCGATGCCATAACCTTCCTTTTGGGTGGGGACTCAGTAATCTGTGTTGCAAGAGCAAAGGAGAGATGGCATTTTCCTGCACAGGGCAGATAAGGTCCATCCTCAGCCCCCGTGACATTTGGGTCTGGGGAGCATGAATGAGGTAACGCTGATGGGAGCACAGGCTAGAGGCCGGTGTCCTCTGTTGAAATCCTGACTTGCTTTTGCCAGCCCAGCCCTACAACAGTCATCTTGCAGGGACTTTGGAGGCCAGAAGGCCACTACTGCCATTGCTTTTTGAAGATGGTGGCCTACTCCACAGCACACTTTGTAGACAAGGAGCAGTTGCCAACAGTGTTCCAACTAGCTTAACCGGAGCTGTGTGCAGGTGGGTTCATGGTTAAAAGTCCTAGTAGTGTAAAAAGAAATCAGAGTAACAGGTGAGCATACATCTGATGTTGTCTCCATAGTTACCACCTTTGCCTTCTATTTCAACACCCTGCTTCGCTTGCAGAGTTTACCTTCCATGCACTTGAGCTCCCTTCTCCCTTTGCTGATAAGCAGAGCTCTTCCCTTAATTAAGTCAACACGTAGGCAGAGGCAGCATCTCTTTTGGCAAGAGGACCTGAGCAGAACCAGCCCCAGAAGCAAGTGAAAATGTGTGTCAAGCTGTGATTAAGTAGCTGTGATTAAAGACTGAATAATTACCCTCCCAAGCAAATATGTCTTAAAATGTTCTCTCAGACTACAAGCATGAAACCTACTGGGCCTGCATGATGGCTCACTATGAAGGGGTGGGGAGGCCGGGACACTCAGGACATCAAGTGTTCATTTAAGAAAGGAAACCCAGGACCCAGGGGAGGCCATCTAATAAGTAGCCACTCTGCCAACCGATTCCCCATCTTCAAAATTTGCCCAGGTCTCTGGCTACCTGGAGATCAGCATTCTGAACCAGGGCCCCATCGTGACGGATATGACATTCACATATTTGACACATTCTCTGAGCTCTGTGCAATCCTGGTGAAATACCTATAACTTATTTTCTCTTCCTCAAACTAAAAAAACAAAATTGTTGGAATACAGTTGATAAAAGTGATGTCATATTTATTTTTATTTAGTTTAAAAAATGATATATTTCCCAAAAGTGTGCCAATTAACTGTGGTTGGTAGTCAATAACGCTGGTACCCTATGCAATGTATTTCATACCCACACGTGTGTTTTGCTATTCTAGGCCAATGCGGCAGCCTCTTCTGCATTCTCTTATATGCCCATCTTCTCCCAATTTCATACAGTTTGTCCTCCTTGCAAGGCCTGAGTAACATTCCAGGCAGTGATCCCTAGGAAAGTGGTGCAGTCTGATAGTTAGAATTATAGACGCCAAACCCTTTCATTTATGACCTGCTATTTGTTGGTTTTGGCTGGAATGAATATTTGGCAGCATATTTATCAAAGTTAATTGGCAAGCAAATCCCAAGGGAACAAAGCATTAAAAAGTTCAGGTATGGCTTAGCATCCTTAGCATACCCGGTCCTGACTTGGGGACTTTTACCCCCACTATTCATGAGGCAGGGGTACTGTGGGGAAAAAACAGCAACATGCAGACTTAAGTGTTAGGGAGAACCAGGATTGAATCATGGTTCCTCCTTGGCTTTGAGCCAGTCCTTAATCACTCTCAACTATCAGGTTTTAATCTAAAAAATGTGAATATTTTTGAAATTGTGAAATTGCTACGAGGTTTAGAGACAATGGATACAAAAATGCCCTGGTAATGCCTGGCACACAGTAGCACTTCACAAAAAAGCCTTAAGAAAATATTTATTTACCCAAATACCACTGTCTACCATGGATGGACCAATTCAAGTGGGTGGTGAGAGAGTTACAAGCCTCAATATTTTGGAGAGTTTAGCATACACTGAGTGATTACAGGCAGGAGCGGTCTCGGATGAGACACAACAGAGGCGAAAGGAAGAAAACTGTGACAAGCAAAATGCTTTCCTGAAATCCTTGCAAACATTTGGGGACATTTTTGAAAAAAGAGATTCAAGGTCTCTCTTAATGCATGCAATTTGAATTGCGGAAGAAATCGGGTTTTGCCTGTCCCATCATGTCAAGCTGACTTTTTGTGCTGCGGAGACAATCCCAAAGCAGCTGCTTTTCATAACACATTAGAGAAGACATTCTGACCCCTGTTGCCCTGGGCAAATTCTTCAAACTCCAAGTAGATGCAGTAAACATGTAAGTATAAATATGACCACCATTTGTTTAACCGTGACAATTTTAGATAGTTTTTGGCATGCTCAAAGGTACAGAGATTTTTTGTGGGTGAATAAAAAATATCTTGGATATTGTTATCCCACTTTGGCTAAGTCTTGGGTGACATTATTAATTTCTTGTAAAATTGGAGTGTTTATACATAATACCATATTATGGGAAAGGAAAAAAATGTTAAAGTTTACCTCCCTGGAGGGAGTGGGTTGGAGAAGAGTGTAGCAGACAATTATTTATGGATCATTTTGCATGAACACAATTGTCATGGCTTTTGTCTGATGATGGAAAGATTTTCTAGTTGTTTATTTTGATTAGCACTGGCATTAATGCTAGCTTTCTGGTGATCTTAAACTTAAATTTAAATATCTAATATTTAAATTCGCCAGTAATGCAGTTTAAAGATCATCTCAAACATGGAGGCATATTTTGCTGAAGAAAAACTGTTACCATTCTTTCATGGGGATTTTGTTCGTGGAAGAGGAAGCCTGGCCAGAGTGTTTTTTAAAATTCAGATTCTGAAAGAAGTTCTTCTCAACAATGAAACTTATTTTTCCTATTAAGGTAGAAGAGGAGCGAGGTTTGCAAATTCACATCCTTCCCTGGTGCCTACAACCATAATAGGACAGCCACATCTGGTAGAGCTGTTGTGGGCCATGCAGAAAGACCAGAAGAGCCTAAAAATCCAGCCAACATCTAATGCCAGAATCCAATTTATGAGCCCAAGGCAGGATGTCTATCCGGTCAGCAAGAAGACACTCACCAGAAAGAGGTGAGAAAGTGGTAATATTCTATGTTCAAACACAACCAACAACCAAATCCAGTCCACATACAAACATTCCCTCCATGGCAGTATGCGCAGGTATTAGCCTTTCAGAAGGATTTAAGGAAATTATCATTTTGCTGCAAGGGAAGAAGAAATAGATGATGTTGGCTACTATTTCGCCGTGAAGGTTTAAATAATGGCTACATTCTACTTCAAAATTTTTAGAGGGAATTACCCAAATATGGGGAAAGAGGCCACTGAAATGATAAGTAGTTTTAGACAAGTGATTCTTGTCAATAATTATTTCAAAACCATAAATCTCATTTTAAATTCTTACTGTGAAATATGAAAAATATTTTAATTTTTACACATAATTACCATCTTCATATTTAGTAGGTATACTGAGTTATTAAGGTTTACCAAAATTTGGTAGACAAAAACCAAAAAATAGCATGTTGCCTGAAGAAAGTGGAAATAAATGAAGTGAATGGGATACTGGATTTTTTTACCAGACTAAATGGACATCTGTCAAAAACTCTTTGCAAACTCCTGCTATTGAAGGGCTTTTAGTCAGTATGCTCCCAAGATAAGTGTGTGTCACTCAAATTTCAGAAAGGATATACTTAGATCATAAGGCTCATTCCAACATTCTACAGGTGCATGGAGACCTTGGCTCTCATCCACTATGCAAAAGTGAAGCAACTGAGAAGAAATGGAAATCAAGATGTGCCTTTCAAAATATTATCACCTGTGGCTTTTCATAATAGAGTTCTGAAAAAGGTAAGTGATTTGTCAAGAAAGATCTTTCTAGGCCATGTCAAAGAGGCTGTAGAGTAATTTTGCAGCCTCTAATTTAGCATAAAGTTAGCACCCATTCCACCCCAACCTTTTGATCTTTAAATACTTTACATGAGAAGACTTCCTCCATCTGATCTAGGAAGTGCTTAATGGAATTTTGTCCACAGTAGTTAAGTTGAAAAAATTACCCTCATCTCCACTGTCTTCCAATAGGAAAAACCATCCTTTCACTGGCTGGTTCTTTCAACACATTCTAGACCCAAGGATGTGCCTACTTTAGTGCAGAGACATGCGTGCCCCTCACCTTCATCCTTAGGGAATCAGGAGAAGTAGCTGGTCAAGTCCCCGAAAAAGGTAAATCTCACTGTCAAGTTTAACCCAAGCTGAGACACTGGATGTATCAGAAATGAAGTGTAAAACTTGCTCTAAAAATAATGAGTATCAGCCACCATCTTAAGGCTCTTCCTCTCCAGGCCCTCACCCTGTAAATATCCAACACCGCTGTCAATAGGTTTAGCCTGAAAATAAAATCCCCTCACTCCATCGAGAACTAGCTCCAAACTTAGAGTGTGTGCTGAAAATATTCATGATGAAATCATAATCCTATATTTATAGACTTTTGGATGGTGCATGAAATTCTGTTTCCCATGGTGTTTTTCAATGAAGGGGTCAGACGTGGAGAGCGGGCTCAGAGGATGCCCCAGAGAGCATTAGCCTCAAGGACGTGCTGTTTATCCTCATTTTGAACTGCATGGCCGTGTGACATCCTCCCTCCTCCCTGAGCCCTACCCACTGCCCAAGAGTTGGTCTCCTCCCCCACCCATTCCCAGATGGTCCCTGGTTGGAGGGTTCTGTCTTGTCATCCAGGAAGAATGAACATGCCTAAGATTATCCCCCCTTCCTTCTGACCTTTCCTGTCCTCTAGACTTCCTCCCCGTTTTCACTGAGGGAGATGGTGTGGATCTTAATGGTTGGAATTTGATGGTTCTCTCCATGGCTGGGGGTCGAGGGCCCCATGCAGCAGCAGACCTGCAAAAAGCTTTTACTTCTCACCCGGGCTGTGGTGCAGGCTGATTGGTCTTTGGACACTGTAATCTTGGCAGATCCACGAGACAAGGAAGAGAAAAACTTCCATTCACAGACCCCATCTGTCTTGGAGATCTTATAGAAGGTCTCTCCTGAGCTCACGGGGATGCGCACCAGGTCCTTGTGCTGCCCCTCCGAGGTGTGGCTGGGCGGGTGCAGGGTGTATCCCAGGGCCCGTTTGGAAGACTGCTTTTTGCGGAGACACTGGATTCTCAAGACATTCTGAAAGGCCTTTTTAAACTCTTGACTGGAGCATGGGTATATAATAGGGTTGATGCAGCTGTTTAGGTATCCGAGCCAAAATGCTATTTTAAAAACTGTTTCAGAGGGCTTGAAGTCAGGGAAGAAAGACCCTGGAAGGAAACACATAGATTCATACATATTATTTGCAAGCCAACAGGTCAATGGTCTAGGAAAACAAGCAAACAAACCAACAAACATCCTTTTATATTATTTTTTAAAAGTTTCAAATGGTTCCAAGTGCATTTGAGTTTTTCACATTTGACTGACTAGCCCTGATGAATGTAATTCTTTGCACTATCCCCAAGACCATTCTCTTTGGCCCACATGTGCAATACCAATAATGCGAGCAGGCCCAGGGGGTAGGGTCACACCGGTTCTCAGTGATAAACATTCCCTCATGTCTGCTTGAAAGCTTTACATAATGAAAACTCAGAACTTAAGCTGAGTCTACATATGCAAATTTTTTGCCTGAATTTTAAAATAACTTGGAATTCATTCAAATAACCCATATAAAAATGGGGTTATTTTAGTATTCCTTTTGTTCTTTAAAGCAATGTTATACAGACATTTTTTTTAAATCTTTTTTTTTTTTTTTTTTTAATTTTTTTATTGCTTAAATTATTACAAAGAGTATTACATATGTCTCCTTTGTCAACTTTTGGCCAGTGATTTTCAATTACACTGTAAGTACAGTCACCTACCTACTATGTTTAGACTTACACTATTATGTTGGTGCAAATTCAGCAGAAACTGCAGTTTGTATTTTGAGTTGTGATCTTTTCCTGGGCTAGTAATATGTGGTACGATACTCTCTATGATGCTGGGCAGTGACAGCAAGATGATTTTGCCTAACTGTAGGCTAATGTAAGTGTGCTGAACTCATTTAAGGTAGGCTAGGCTAAGGTAGGTTAGGTGTGTTAAATGCATTTTTTATTTATGATCTTTTCAACTCATAATAGGTTTATTGGGATATAACTCTATTGTAAGTTGAGGAATGTCTGTATTTTTCTTTGATGATGCCTTTTGATGTTACAATATGCTTCCCTGCTCAACATACTCCAATGGCTGCCAAATGCTTATAAAATGCTTGTCAACTGCTTGACATTCAGGGTTCTCCACAGAACTCGACCTAATCTAGCTTTCTAACATTAATACTTTTACTCTAACCAGACACTATGAACTTGTCTCCAAGTTTGTAGTGAGTCTGGTTGCTCACTTTTTTTTGTCCTCTTGAGTTGGGTCCAAGTGTCTAAAATGCCCTTTCCAATCCTCTTTAGCTACTCAAGTCTTGCCCAGTAGTTAACAAAGCAGGAATCAAGTTTCATACCTTTTTAAATATCCTATCTAATAAAAGAGAAACATGGTAATTAGCCGTATGGCCGCTACCTTCCCATTGGCTAATCAGGGAGATATGCAAATTAACTGCCAGCCAAGATGGCGGCCAGCAGCCATGCACTGAAGCGAACAGGGAGGCTTGCTTGCTCCAGTGACGGCGGACTCCAACGTTCCCTGCCTGACTTACCGGCCTCTCAGCCGCAACTCTAAGCAACTATGTTGCAAATATAGAAGCTAAACAAAACCCCAGAAACCTGCTTTAGTCAGCGGGCTTCAGCCATTTGGACCACAACATTGTATCAAATACAGAAGTTAAACAAAGGCCAGAAACCTGCTTTCAGCAGCCGAGGCCTCAGAGCTAAAGCTGGCCCAGAATAAAAAAAAAAGAAAAGAAAAAAAGGAGCGGTTGGGAGCTTCAGTCACCTGCCAGCCTGAAAACAGCCCTCAGCCAGACTGGCCAGGCACCCCAGTGGGGACCCCCACCCTGATCCACGACACCCTTCAGGGCACACCAGCCGGCCCCCACCCGTGCACCAGGCCTCTATTCTATATAGTAAAAGGGTAATATGCCTCCTGGCACCGGGATCAGCTGATCAGCGTGACAGGGGGCAGCGCCCAAACCCCCTGATCGCCCTGAGGCTCTGTGTGTGACAGGGGGCGGGGCCACAACCTCCCTATCCGCCCTGCTCTGTTCCTGACAGGGGAAGGTGCTCCAACCCCCTGATCAGCCCTGCTCTGTGCCTGATAGGGGGGAGCTCCCCACCCCCCTGATCGCCCTGTGGCTCTGTGTGTGATGTGTGACGGGGTAGAGCCATCCCCCCCCCACGGGCCCTGCTCTGTGTGTGACGGGGTAGAGCCATAACCTCCCCATCGGCCCTGCCCTGAGTGTGACAGGGTACGGAGCCCCAACGCCCCTGATGGGCCCTGCTCTGTGCATGACAGGGGGCAATGCCCCAACCCCCTGATCAGCCCTGCTCTGTGCGTGACAGGGGGCAATGCCCCAACCCCCTGATTGGCCCTGCTCTGTGCGTGACAGGGGGTGGCGCCGCAACTTCCCTATCGACCCTGCCTTGAGTGTGACAGGGGGTGGTGCCCCAACCCCCCAATAGGCTGTACCCTGAGCATGACTAGGGGTGGCATCTCAACCTCCCGATCCGCCCTGCTCTGTGCATGACAGGGGGCGGCGCCCCAACTCCCCAATCGGCCCTGCTCTGAGCCCGACCAGGGGCTGCACCTAGGGATTGGGCCTGCCCTCTGCCAACGGGGAGCAGGCCTAAGCCAGCAGGTCATTATCTCCTGAGGGGTCCCAGACTGCGAGAGGGCACAGGATGGGCTGAGGGACCCCCTCTTCTCCCCCCCCCCCCCCAGTGCACAAATTTTTGTGCACCGGGCCTCTAGTCCTATATAATAAAAGGCTAATATGCAAATTGACCAAACGGCAGAATGATCAGTTGCTATGGTGCGCACTGACCACCAGGGGGCAGACACTCAATGCAGGAGCTGCTTCCTGGTGGTCAGTGTGCCAGAAGCTGTGTTCATGGCTGGCGAGTACAGTGGTGATGGCAGGAGCCTCTCTCGCCTCCATGGCAGTGCTAAGGATGTCCAACTGCTGGCGTGGAGCAGGCCTAAGCCATTAGTTGGACATTCCCAGAGGGCTCCTGGATTGCAAGAGGGTGTAGGCCAGGCTGAGGGACCCCTCCCCCCCACAAGAGCACAAGTTTTGTGCACCGGGCCTCTAGTTGTACCATAACTATCACATAGTCGTTGGCAGCAGAATAACAAAACCATGGAACCTTAAAGTGGGAACAATCTAAGGCATTATCTTATTCAATTACTCAATTTCCAAGTTAAAAACATGATGATTGTCACCCACATGATAGCTATGGCACTAATACAGTGATAGATAAAGGGATATAGAATTCCCAGTCTAGTGTTCTTTATTCTCTGCACAGCTTTTTGCTTTTGCTCCAGCTTAAAACCTTTATTTTATTTTTAAAATATTTTTTTATTAATTTCAGAGAGGAAGGGAGAAGCATCCTATATAATAAAAAGCTAATATGCAAATAGACTGAACTGCAGAACAACCGAACAACTGGTTGCTATGACGTGTGCTGACCACCAAGGGGCGTGTGTGGAACATGGCTGGCATTGGCCATGGCGGGATGGTGGAGCAGGTGAGCAGGGGTGCCAGCCAAGGCGAGCCGCCAGTCGCTGTCATCAGGGTGAGTCTCTGGTGGTTACTGAAAATTCTTTGCTCCCGCACACCACAGTCCCCCCTGGCGCTTGCACCTGCTGCAGGCGCCGGCCCTGATTGCTTGGTCCCTTCAGTGGGTGTGAGGGGTGGCTGCTGGTCCCGATTGCCTCTCGGGGCTTCTCCACCTCCCTCTGCTCCTGAGGGGTGATCGGGGCCTGCAGCTGCTGCTCGCACCCACTGACGGCACCAGCCCTGCTTGTACCCACTGCTGGTGCCAGCCCCAATCGCTCCACGCCACCAGCGGGTGGGAGCGGGGCTGGCACCATCAGCGCATGGGAGCCATGGTGGCTGGAGCAAGGCTGCCGGCAGACAGGGGACCAGGGGCCACAGTGGGAGGGCTGGGTGGAGGCGCGGAGGATGGGCCGAGAATTGCCCCTGTGCCCACCACAGCCTCACGGCCCACAGTTCCTTTCAAGGTGCACAAATTTGTGCACTGGGCCCCTAGTCAATGATAAGAGAGAATTGTTGATTGGCTGCCTTCTGCATATGCCCAACTGGGGATCAAGCCCGCAACCCAGGCATGTGCCTTGACTAGGAATCGAGTGGGTGACCTCCTGATTCATGGGCCGACTCTCAACCACTGATCCACACCAGCTGGGCAAGGCCTTGCTTTTATGTCTTTCTTTCTCTCTCTACTCTATGGACCCATTAGAGGCATGACAAACTGATGGGTGTCTTTATTCTAGCAAACAATGCCCTAAAATTTAGTAGAGGATCTCATCAATATAAACAAAGAGTACACTTAAATATTGCAAAAAAAACAAACCCAAAATGATACAGTGGTCAATGGGAGCATGTATTATCTCTGAGGCACACTTCCTGCTAAGTTCAGTGTGTCTCAAATAAATTAAAACACACACACACGCGCACACACAGAATGGTTGTAAAGTATTATTCTTTAGCTCCAAAGCTTTTAACGTTTTCTTATAATTATAATAGGATTTATTTATACTGAGTGCCTGGTTTGAGCCAGGCCTGTGCTAAACACTTCACATACAATTTCGTCATTAGCAACATCCCCACTTTACAAATGAGGAAACAGTGGTTTAATGAGGTTGAATAACTTAATCAATGTCACACAGGCAGATGGTTGCTGGTAGGGTGGGATTTAAAATTGGACAGTTGGATTTTCGGGCCTATGTTCCTTTATGGAATCTCAAAATAGATTTGAATAATACACCTTTTGGGAAAGAAGATGTTGAATAGAGAGTGATGAAGTGTATAGTTGCAGGAAGCTTGAATTGGAAACATGCTTTTTCTTTTTCTCTTTTTAAATTTGTATTGGTTTCAGGTGTACAGTATAATGGTTAGACAATCATATACTTATACAAAGTGATCCCCCCAATATTTTGATGCCTCCGACACAGTCACAAGGTGGTAAACTTCATCTGAGCAGTTCCCACCTGATCCCATGCATACTTATTACAATATTATTGACTATATTTCCTATGCTGTACTTTACAGACTATGACTATTCTATAACTACCAATTTATACTTCTTAATCTCTTCATCTCTTTCAT